TTGCCTCCTATTTTCTTTTTGAACATTTGATTCTTTCTGTCCTTGTTATAAATGCGCTTCTTCATCAAAGATTTCAATTCTCGCCTCTCTTTTTGAATTTCGTTTTCAGGTGCTTTATTGAAGAACTCTAAGCCTTCTGGAATAAAAAAACAAATATTCAAAACATATATCTTTTAAAAAGTAAATTACTAGTAACTGGATAACTGCATGAAATTAAAACTCTCGGTAGTTATAACGGCAGAAATCATACTTAAATCATAATAGATTACCAACTACAAAAGCATATGGTTAAAAAACCATTAAAGAAAATCACAACCTTGAAAACCAATTACTGTCAGGATATTAAACTCATTTTAAAATAATACGGTATTTTAGTCTCGATGAGAAAAAAATTAAAAGTCTATTGCAATGATTGTTCAGAGGCAAAGCAATCGGGTTTTTTTATCTGTCTTTAAAAACAACGAAATGTCGCCCCCATGCTAATGACGTCATTACAGCAGTAAACAAAAGTGTCAGCTGTCATTGTACTTACGGCCACACATCCATCTATAAAAAACCAGGTTATCCTGGTGTCGCGTCGCATCATCTTTCCGCACATTTAACGTTCAGTTTATACTGATTATGTAAAGCTCGATGTGTAGCCGTGTGTACTAAGTGTGTATGTCAGCTGTAGCTGAATGAATATTGACGGATTGACGTCATGACAAAACAATCATGGCGTCAGCTGTTTGCCGCGTTTTCGCAAAATACGCGCGAAATTTAAAATAATGATAAAAATTTTAATTTATTCGTATTTCGTACATAACGCGAGGTACCTAATATACCTCGCGTTATAGAATTTATTTTAGATACCTTTCAAAAATGCATGACTATTCAAGACCTACCTTTAAGACGTGAATCAAATCTGCTGAAGAACAAATTTTCTTTCCATACAGCTTTAGTTTCAGTTACAGGTGCAGGTAAAGTCTCAATTTTTTCAACTTTATCCTCTTTTTGATCTACTTCCTCAGTTTCAGAGTCAGAAGAATCGTAAACAAATGGATTTTTCTCTTTAGGGTCCAGAGGATTTTTCACTTTTTTTGCTTTCGGTGCTTCTAAGGGTATATAGTCAGTATCTTGTTCTTGTGGGCCTGGAAAAATAATATTATTTGTTAGCGCATACATAAAAATTTTAGTTGTTTGTATATTTTTTAGTTTTATAATGAACATACCTTTATTTTCATCATCATCTTCATCATTATCTTTACTGCCAAACAGACTTCTCAAACTAAATTGGCTTGGTTGTGCAATCGCTTCTTTCAATGCATCACTGACTTTATAAAACTGTTCTTTTGAAACTTCAATTTTTGGTCCTTCTGGTTGAGGTTCTACTTCTTTTACAACTTCTTGCTTTTCTTTAGTTTTCTTCTTTGTTTTTTTAGTTAGGTCTGGTTTGGGTTCAACTGGCGCCAAGAATTTCGCATGATCCGGTTGAAGAGGATCAAATCGAAGCATACCTAGTTTAGGTCTGGAAAAATAATGTAATTTTTATACAATAAAAGAGGCTTAAACTACCATCTATTTTATTACCAATCATAAATAAAGTTAAAAATGTTGTAGGAAGTTTTTCATAATAACCAGGAAGGCTCAAAGAAAACTCACCAGTTCTTGTATTACAAATAAATAAGTGTTAAAAGTCTATAAACAATTTCTTTACTTACTTGCTCTTTTTGTTATCATTATTTTCCGAATATTTCGTTTTAAATGTAACTCCAAGTACATCTTGTAATATATTCATTTGTTTAGCTTTTTCATCTTCTGTACCTAATTCTACTTCTTCGGTAGTGTTGCTTTGTTTATTCTCAGGTTCCTCATCCTCATCATCATCAATGAACCTTTCATCTAAGGTGAAACGTTTATCAGATTTGTATCTTGATTGCAAATCTAAAACCTAACATTTAATCTTACATATTAAACTACACTATGATAAAAAAAAGAACTTTGTTATTGGCTGGTTTCACAGTCATCCCGTTATAAATCAGGTTACCAAGTAGTTATTTGTCAATCAAGAGAATCTATGAAACTAGCCATAGTTAACAATAATTTTACATAATTTACCTTCTGGCCTTTTTTGCCTTCGAATTGCTTTTTAATTTCGAAGTTCAATTCATCATTGGAATCATCAGCTTCATCATCTTCAAATAGAACTGTATGATTTTGGTGTCCTTTATTTGTAATGGTATGTGTTTTTATTTGTCTGGGCATCTCATCTTCCGCATCGGAAAATATTAGTTTTTTATTTTGTACTTTATCCTGTAATGTCATAAAATTGTTAGGACTTACTTACTAAAAACTTTGACTGGCAACAGAAAATTGTTAAAGGAAAATCCTCTGGTAGAGTCGATCTTCAGTGACCTACACACAGCAGTTAATGTGTTAATGAATTCTTAAAACAACTACTTACTACACCAGTTAATCCTGATTTGATGATCATTTTCTTTTCTTTAAACTCCTGCCTCTTTTTCTTCATCGATTCTAATCGTTTTTTTTCTGCCTCATGTTTCCTTTTGTCTGCTTCAGTGGCAACTGATAAATTTTTGCTATCAGCAGTGTCCCCAGAAAGTAGGTGGGATCCATCTCTTTGATGTTTCTTTGTTTTTTGTTTGTCATGTAAAACATTCCATTCCTCTACAATATTTTCATGCTTTTTAGTTCTATGGTTATGCTCCTGATCATGATTTTGTTCTGCTTTCCTTTTCCTGGGATTCAGCTTGCTACTTAATTTTAATACAGGATTTTTCTTAGGTAAACTTTCTTCTTCAGCTAACTGAAAGGATTTTTAATGAAGATATAAGTTTATACTTTGTGAAATCTTGCTTGATATTACTAAATACACAAATTAATACCCGACATTTTGGGTTACCTTTTCAGCTTCTTTTATTTTTACTAGTTCCCTCTCCCGTTGTAGTCTTTCTAAGAAACTTTCTCTTGCTCTAGTCACATAAAGTTTACTGCCTTTAAATTCTTCGTGTATGAAGTGTTTAATACCTAGAATATTGCACAAAGACTGTAAGTTATTTTTTCCACAACACAATCAAATGT